GAGAGAGAGAGAGAGAGAGAGAGAGAGAGAGAGAGAGAGAGAGATGAGGCAACAGTGAAAGCTGAAGGCTGGGTCAAACAAGTTTTGCAACAGGACAATGATATCAGCAGCAGACCTGTAGCAGAATGGTTGAAAAGTAAAAGCTGCAAGAGTTCAAAGTACAAAACCTAACCTGACAGAAATGTAGAGGACATAAGATCAAAAAATGTTGTAAAACCCTTTCAACACCAGAGCATAGAAAATTCTCTTTAACAATGTGAAAGACTGAAGAGATCTAAAATGATTAATTTAAGTAACTGCAGCTGAAAGTGGTATTATTTTCTAATGAATAAAACTGCTAAAACGTCAGCTTGTGTACTGAGTACACGTTGGAGCATAGGGAGCGGAAAGTTCAGGAAATCGTGGGGAAATGAGGCGGGGCTGGATACTGAGATTACATCTGGACCTATCCTAACTGTGGTGAGTTGTACATTTAAAAGAGAGGAGGGGGAGCAGTTCACTACGGTCAGGGGAACAAACTACAGGAAGTGAAGCCAGACAGAGAGTCCAAACAGCAACATGGACCTTAAGTCATTTGATCCTGAGAAGGTATGTGATCTTTTGTTTCAGTTTATTTAAAAATAAAATATAAACCTTAGAGCTTGAAATCTCTGTTTGCTACCAACATTAAAATCAAGATGAACTTGCAACAAAACTAGGGACAAACCTGGGCCACTAAATACTATTTTACTCTGTTCTTTTCCTTGACTGAGTGCAGCAATGTTGTGTTTTTTCTTTACAAGCTTTCCAGCTGTTCAGATTTATACTTTAAGTGCACACAAAAGCTGCATGCAAACTCCTTCAACAGCTTCTTGAGCTTTATGACAGCGAGCATGTGTCTTTTATTAAATGCTGACTCAGGCCTTTTCTCAGTGTGCAGTCTCAGGTTTAGCTTTGTGTTGTTTTGATATGGTGATTCTTCTTTTGAAAAGGCGAATGTGGAACGACCTGAAATGTTTGATTTCCACGGCGTCACGATGGTTCATTATTTTACGGACAACTGGGAAAATGTCCAAAAGTTCCAGGCCAGACCAGATGATATACTCATTGCAACGTACCCAAAAGCAGGTCAGAAACATTTTCACTCACGTTGTATAAACCATTGAAATGTGTGTGTTGAGGTGAGGAGGTGAATGCTTTCCTCTCTGACTCTCTTTAGGTACGACGTGGGTCTCCCAAATCTTGGACCTGCTGTATTTTGGTGAGACCAATCCAGAGCGTCAGACCACCATCCCCATCTATGAGAGAGTGCCTTTTATGGATCTTTTAATCCCAGGAGTGTTTTCAGGTTGATGATCAAACCTTCATCTTTATGAATTCTCTTTTTAGAGTGGATTTAAAAGTTTTCCCACCAGCGTTCAAACAGGAGCAAAGAAAATGAGATGAATCAACTTTTTTTAAAATTAAACAGCAAGCACAGATGAGATAAGAACAAGTCAAAGCTCTTCAGAGTTCACCTTGAAAAGTCTTTTTTGGTACAAGTTTTGTAGAAACCAGTCATTTGTGGATGAATGGTTATTGTTTACTTTTAAAGTGCCTGTGACATGAAATTTTTAAAGTAAATATAAAGGCATTTTTGGAAAGTTAACATTATTAGCATGTTGCAAAAATAATTTCCCGCTTCTGAGATGAACAGTTGTTGAGATATTTGCATGTGAAGGAACAGGAAGTGATGTCAAAGGTCAGTGCCTCCATGGAACAAAGCATCGATAAAATAGTTAACGGCACGGACTGTAGAGAAGAATCTGATGTTTGTTTAGATTATTTTGAGTCTCTATTAGAGAGAGATGAAGACAAGTCAGAGTTCAAATTATATTGTTTCAATAAACAAAGATTACAGAATTCTCTTTCTTGAAGAGTTCCCCTATGATGTCACGTCCTGTTGCACATTGGCTGAGCCAAGTTCAAAAGAAAATATGCCATTTATGTAACAAAATGGGTCATTTTATGCAAGGTTTCTTATATAAAAATGTGTTTTCTTTGACTTTTTGTATTTGATGGATAGGCATGTCACAGGCACTTCAAGGCAAAGCCTCTCTCCACCTTCATCTCTGTCTTGTGTCAAAGTTGACCTGTAGTTGGACCCAGATGGAGCTTTTTTTTCTAAAGTAAAACCCCAGGTCTAGAGCTGCCACCACTTCGTTGTGATCACACTCAACAGATTTTTTACACCGTTTTGCATTATTGGATGTCGTTTTTCTCAAATGAGCCCAATTTAGTATAACCTTTTATTGCCATGAGAAGAAAAATAAACAGGTTGTTTGCTGACATGCATTAGACTCATTATCTGCTCATTATGCTGCTTTGAGCTTCTTTCTCACAAACCAGTTCACACTTATACATGCATGTCCCTTTTACTGTTACATTCAATTTCACCAAATAATTTAATCATTTGCTAATACTGTCCTAGCATTAGTCTTTTGTATATCTGATGCCTTTATGTTTCCCCCATGTCCAAAGATGATGTTTTACCTGTTTTCGTGTCATTATTTATCTGTAGCTTTAGCAAAAATATTGGGATTTCTCCAGATCTGTTGATGCGTAAATGGTGGGATTTACAAAAGTTTTCCCAGTTTTCATTGAGGAACATTATTCTAAAATTGTACCACTAATATAAAAACTCAGTTTTTCAAAATATCTTTACATGTGAGAAATTCTAAAGGTCTCTTTCCTTCTCAGTTTTTTTTCTGATCTGTTGCCAATCACAGTGGGGTTCGAAAGTTTGGGCAGCCTTGTTAATTTTCCTGATTTACCTTTATAAGTCATTGATTGGACAAAAAATCAGTAAAATATGTCATATAGGGGACAAACACAGTGATATTTGAGAAGTGAAATGAAGTTTATATGATTTACAGAAAGTGTGCAATAATTGGTTAAACAAAATTAGGCAGGTGCATAAATTTGGGCACCAAAAAGCAAACCTTTAACTCAATATTTAGTAGATCCTCCTTTCACAGAAATAACAGCCTCTAAACACTTCCTACAGCTTTCAACGAGAGTCTGGACTGTGGCTGAAGGTATTTTAGACCACTCTTCTTCACAAAACATCTCTAGTTCATTCAGGTTTGATGGTTTCTGAGAATGGACAGCTCTCTTTAAGTGACACCACATATTTTCAATAATATTCAAGTCTGGGGACTGAGATGGCCATTCCAGATCGTTGTACTTGTTCCTCGGCATGAAGACCTTAGTAGATTTTGAGCAGTGTTTAGGGTGGTTGTCTTGTTGGAAGATGCAGCCCCGGCTTCAGCAGCTTCAGCTTTGTCACTGATTCCTGGACATTGGTCTCCAGAATCTGCTGATTTTGATTGGAATCCATGTGTCCCTCATCTTTAACAAGATTCCCAGTCTCTGTACTGGCCACACAGCCCCACAGCATGATGGAACCACCACCAGGTTTCACTGCAGGTAGCAGGTGTTTTTCTTGGAGTGCTGTATTCTTTTTCCTCCATGCATAACGGACCTTGTTCTGCCCAAATAACTCTGTTTTAGTTTCATCAGTCCACAGCACCTCATTCCAAAATGAAACTGGCTTGTCCAAATGTGCTTTAGCATACCTCAAGCAGCTCTGATTGTGATGTGGGCGGAGAAAAGGCTTCCTCTGCATCACTCTCACACACAGCATCTCCTTGTGTAAAGTGTGCTGAATAGTTGAATGATGCACAGTGACTCCATCAGCAGCAAGATGATGTTGTAGGTCTTTGGTGCTGTTCTGTGGGTTGACTCTGACTGTTCTCAACATCCTTCACTTCTGTTTATTGGAGATTTGTCTTGGTCTGCCACTTCCAGCCTTGACTTAAACTGTGCCTGTGGTCCTCCATTTTCTCACAATGTTTCTCACAGTGGAGACTGAAAGCTGAAATCTCTGAGATAGCTTTCTGTATCCTTCCCCTAAACCATGACAGTGAACAATCTTTGTTTTCAGCTCATTTGAAGGTTATTTTGAGACTCCCATGATGTGACTCTTCAGAGAAGATGCAAAGAGGAGAAAAACTTACAATTGCCCAAATACTATTTCTCATAATTGGAGTCACCTGTGGATGGAGGTCAGGGGTCACTGAACTTACCAAAACAAATTTGAGTTCCAATAATTAGTTCTAAAGGATTTGAAATCAATAAAGTGACAACAGTGCCCAAATTTATTTACCTGCCTAATTTTGAAAACCAATTATTGCACACTTTCTGTAAATCGTATCAACTTCATTTCACTTCTCAAAAATCACTGTTTGTCCCCTATATGATTTTTTAAACTGATTTTTTTAATCCAAGCATTCAGTGATTTATAAAGGTAAATCAGGAAAATTAACAAGGCTGCCCAAACTTTTGCACCCCACTGTATCTGAACTTTTACAGCTTCTCTTGTCTTTTTGGAGATGCTGTCCAAAAATTCAAAAAATGGAAATTCAAGTCCATTTTGTTTGGTCTCATACAGGAAAAGATCTGGCAGACAATCTTCCAACCACCCCTCGACTCATCAAAACCCATTTTCCTGTCCAGTTTGTACCAAAATCATTTTGGGAGCAGAACTGCAAGGTATAACTTCAAACAGTTGCAATTTTGGATGATAATGGTGTTCACAGAATGAGGAGCACAAAACCTGATTTACAACAATGCATGACACATGTTTCATTTGAGGGTTTAAAAAAGGATATGTTTTTAAACAATGCTTGTGTCTGGTTCTCGTCTCAGATCATCTACGTGGCCCGCAATGGCAAAGACAACATGGTGTCGTATTACCACTTTGATACAATGAACAAGGTCCAACCAGAGGCTGGGACCTGGAGCAGCTACTTTCAGAGATTCCTGCAGGGAAAACGTACGTGCAGTCCATGGACTTAACAATAGAATAATATGTGTTAGATTTAAAATATCTTCTAATCATTAACAGGTAATACAATTGGAAAAATGTATCTTTGATGAACAGCAGCACTTGATTGATATATAACTCGCTGTCATTTATGTACTTTACAAACAAGTACAATTTCAGAATCAGCCTATATGAAGTACTTGGGCATGTACTCAAAGGTTTACAGAATTATTAAGATACAATAAATAACAAACAAACAAAAAGTCTCTCACATATCATAGTGCGTAAGTACTTCCTGCAAACACTGGCTGTTTTCAACTCATTAACTTTCCCCTGTTTTAGAATAATAAATTTTAAATTGCTCAGAAATATCCAACATATTTTTCTCAAGTTTGATGAGCAAAATGCTTTATTGTGAATTCTGTTGTCTATAACACTCTAAAAATCCTCCAGACCTGCACCTGTTTTAAATACAAATCAAATCTCGATAAAATGCATTTTATTAGCTGCAAGTACAACCCCAATTACAATAATTTTAGGATGAAGTGTTAAACATAAATAAAAACAGAAAACGATGATTTGCAAGTCCTTTTTAAGCTATATTCAACTGAAAACAATACAAAGACAAAATATTTAATGTTCAAACTGATAAACTTTTTTTTTTGGAAATGTTCACTCATATTTCATTTGATGCTGCAACACAAACAAAAAAGCTGGGACAGGTGCATGTCTACCTCTGTGTTACATCACCTTTACTTTCAACAACACTCAATAATTGTTTGGGTTTTAGGCGGAATTATTTGCCCATTCTTGCTTGATGAACTGAAGTTGTTCAACAGTCCGTGGTCTTGTCATACTTTGTGCTTCATAATGCTCCACACATTTTCAATAGCAGACAGGTCTGGACTGTAGGCAGGACAGTCTAGTACCCACACTGTTTAACAATGAAAAAGTTGTAACAAGTACAGAATGTGGGCTGGCATTATTTTTGCTGAAATAAGCAGGATGTCCCTGAGGACACGACGTCCACAATTTCCAAAAACAAGTTGAAATATGGACTCGTCTGATCACAGGACACTGTTCAGATGAGCTCAGCTCCAGAGAATCTGGCAGCAGGGACTGAAGATCACGGGCATTCAGTGTTGGTTTTCAGTCCTGTCGCTTACTTGCAGAGATTTGTCCAAATTTTTGGAATTTTTTGATAATGTTATGGACTGTAGATGAATTTGGAATTGTATGTTTAGAAATATTGCTCTTCACGGTTTGCTCACATAGTTGTTTACAAAGTGGAGAACCTTGCCCCATCCTCATCCAGAATGACTGAGCCTTTCAGGGATGCTCCCTTTATACTCAATCATTACTAACCTGTTTCAAAAATAAGATAGATAGATAGATAGATAGATAGATAGATAGATAGATAGATAGATAGATAGATAGATAGATAGATAGATAGATAGATAGATAG